ATTATGACGATGAGGTGTACTTGGAATAAATGAAAGTTTTTTTCATAATGTTAAGTAATAAATAGCCCGTTGTTGTTAGTTATTAGCTTTCAGTTTTACCTTCTTTATATTTGTCGTTTTGTAAATAAAGAACGAATAAAGATGACTGCAAACAAAGAAGATATGTGTATTTATGAAGTTATGGTATCTAGTGGAGGGGGTAGCTATATGAATACTTGCTAGTTGCACTGCTTAGATGTGAGGTATAGAATATAGACATACTAGCCATTAAAGCCCCATATATGTTGTTGAATACAGGCAAGCAAACTTTATTCAATCAACAGACTGTCAACGCGCCTAAAAAACAGAATCACGAGGAATTTCTCATATTATCTTTAGCTTTGCAGATGATCGCGTAAGCAACAGTGATAATAGTATTTGCTTGTTATTGAAATGTTGCTATGAGGTCATAATGTGAAATCTGAATATAATTAGCTTGTTAATGAATCTGTCTTGAGCTAATGTGGTGAATACTGCATTTTCTAGACGTAAAAAATTCGAAATAGGAATACTACGAATGGAGTTTAGCAAAAGTTGGCAATTTACATTTTCGAAACAACGGCTATGGTAAATCGTAAGAGATTATTAAAGAAGCTCGCGGCAGTGCTAAGCGTGGAGACTAAAAATGAATAACAAATCACAGTGTGAAAATATGCGTCTAATGTTATTTTGTTGACGCGAAAAAAAAAAATGAAAAAGAACCAGTACCGAACGAAGTATGAGTAATAGCATTGTTAGTAAGAAATAAACGGAGTGCAGATGTACAAACACATTCAGAGGTTCCATTTCTGACAGAAATTTCTTGCAGAAACAGTTGCCCTATAATTGGATAAATTTAAGATCTTTGCGCATTTTGAAACAAGCTTGCGTGTCGATTACGTAAAATAGCAAATTACAATATTGTGAATGAGTGCACGCGAGCTGATCAGCTGCATTTTGGTAAGTTCCTGAAGGTAGAGAAATCTTAATAAGGTTATACTTTTTCCTAAATATTACTCAAATCGGATCCAACAATTTCTCCAATATTCAGCGATATAATAATCATAGACTTGATCGGGCCCAAGCTCGGTTCACTCACAGTGAACCACTTTTAGAAGAACCGAATTGAACTGTCTTAGATTCCGTGTTTTGTTTTACAATGCCAGCTTCACTCGTTAGTTTGATTATAGTAAGAAGCTTTCGCTCCCCACGAAATGTGTCTGAGCTAGTTTTCAGGAGCACTTAAATTTAAAATTCACTTAGAAATTCATGCTCATGGATTAGCAACTATGCACCGTTTCGAGATGACAACTTTTCTATATTTGAAAACATTTCCACCCCACGCAGTATATTCAGGTTCCAGCTAGTTTACGAGCTATTACATAAAAATTAATAAAAAAAACTTCTCCTTAAATCAATATTTTAGAATCACATACAACATGCAGCCATTATGAATGTACGAAAAAATGATATGCACCAAAGTATTGTTGCACGGCAACCCGCAATATTATTTGTGACTTTTAGCTTTTTCAATATGCTGTGCTTTAATTGTAAAATCAAATCTTTCAGAAATTCACTCTCCACAGACAGATTCATTCGAAGTTAAATTACTGCAAGAACTTAATAGAACAGGAATCAAGGCGCATAGAGCTATAATCTATCACAAAGCTCTCCAAGTCATGTAATTTTTTCTGAGTTTTCCTTTCAGCCGCCGCTATTTTTATATATCTGGTAGCCACTACAATGAAAGATTTTTGGAACACCTTTGCATCGACAGCAAGAATGTTTTGCCTGGCATCAACTGGCTCTGTAATGGAAGTTGAATAGCCGGGTCTAGTGTTCAACGTTTTACACCGAAATTTGGAGTTGGCACGTGAGTTACATTACGTCGTCCTATGGACAACCGAAAAATTTCTATCGGAGGTGTATGTTCCGTATCTCGTTTGAGAAATGTTTTGTAATCACATCTGTTGCAAATCGGACATATTTGGTTTGAAACCGAAGCGATCAAATTCTTCCGACTGGAGAAAGAAAACTTTAATCAGGCCCCTCATATTTCAACACTGTTCTGCCAGATTAAAAAAAACATATCATACAATGAGCCTTTCCCAAATACCTTTAATGACTCGAGACGAAATAAAGCAACTAAGTAATTAATCATAGAAATCCTGTCCTTCATTTTTGGTGATTTTAGCGGTTGCATCATTAGTGGGTTTATGCATAAAAATGCCTGTCTTTGTTTACTGGTATCTTTTTCTGTTTGCTGAATGGTATACACCGCTGGAAAGCTCTCTTATTCCTTTATCCTTCATTTGAAAAATAGAATTACGTGTTGAGGAATAGCATTTTTAACATATGATACTAGCCTTTTAACGAGAAGTTGGCGTAGCAGCCGTTATGTGCGTTGTGTACGATGAAAACTCTGTAGCTGAGACTGTTACTTAAAAGCAGTTAAAGTAGTTCGAAAATGGCATTTAAGCCGAAAGAACGCATTCCAATTGACTTTTCAAGCGCTAAGGCGTCGCATACTTATAACAAAACTTACAAAAGTTACTTAATAAGTCTACATTATTTAAGTATAGTCCTTGCCGTACATGCAACAAGTACTATAAGTTGCTCATATAGCTCTTTCACACTAAAAAAAGGATCAAATAAAGCAGGATTTCAAATACTGTTGTTTGCAGCCCGATATACGCATCCTTCGAGTCCGAAGGAGGGGTAAAATATTGTAATTGACGCTTAAATTCACAGCAGCTTTGATTATCGATAAACAGTCAATTTAAAAAAAAGGAAAGCAATAACAAAAACGGCTATTACTTGTACACTAGCCTAGTACACAAGTATTGCCCCATGACAGCGTAGTGAGCAATGCGTTTGCTTGCAAAATCTAAAGGACTAGCGGGGGGCTAAGTTTGAAGCCGGACGTCGACATACTTCGTTCCGTGTTGGGAGCGGGCTACCTGGTGGTACGTCTAATAGCGCTGCTGGACGTAAAATTTGAAGCATTTAATATACAAACATGTGGTTTAAATAAATACATTTTTTATTGACTACAAGGACACATCTTTATTTTGTTTCGTTATTATTACATGGTAATAATAATTTCATTAATTGTTGTTGTATGTATCATATATATGAGAATGTCCAATCTGTTGATTAGGAACATCTCTTAAACGATGAAAAGATATATCTCTTCGTCGTTTCGTGGCTTCGTCGGATGTATATAAATATCCGGATCATCATGAAGGTTCTAACGATCTTTCTGAACGAATTTTAGCCACCGTCGGTCACACAGCGCGAGCCATTCGATGACTTCAACGCGAATAATTTCGACACCGCCAGAGGTCGAGCCGAAACAAGAACTTTAGTTCGGTGTGGTTATATAATTTGCTCATTGAAGCTGATTTTACAAACAGCCAGTGTTCGCGGTGTTGTTTACGTGTCGAAAATTCAAAACTGTCAATCAATAAGATTAGATATTAATAATTTTAATATGCTTGATATCGTCATGGGTTACGTTTCATACTGTTCCCGCGTCCCCTCTGAATGATGGCTTTTGACCCAGTGTTATTTATCTAATCAATTTCTTATTCCTTCTTCGTGCACTATAACATAAAGCATATCCAAACCGTTACAGTTTATGCATATCATACATTAGTCTATTGCAGGTGACAGGCCTTTCCGTTATCATCTTTTTAGTGAATCTTGCATAACCAGCCAGCCACGGAAAGTTTCGCTCCATTGTCGCGTGAGATCGACAAACGCTACAATCAGCAAGTTGTGGTTACTCAAATTCGAATGGCAAACTGGTTTAGAACTTTTTTGTTTTGCATTAACGTGGAACCATTCGTTCGGGTCGATGTTTCGTTTATTATAGAATGGACAATGAATATTTCATTAACTTTTGTTAATTTTTTAAGGAATCGATTTATGCACGTTAGACATTGGAGCCGGTAATTTCGAGTAACAAACATCAACTGTGAACGGCGATCAGAAACAACAGAATAAATAACAGACGAATTTACTTGCTGGTAATATAAAATTCGTATCGATGTTCAAGTGAGATATAGAGAACAAAAGAAGATCAATTATCTGTAAAAAAGAGAAGGTACCAGCTCTTTCATGAAACAAAAAATACTCAGTTTAGCGAAAAACCTAACCATTTACTGATCCAGTTTGCTCTTCGTCAGGGCGTAACCATTAATTTTCGAAATGCCCTTAATCTGCTCTTGCGCTATATCGCCCAAAGAGAACAAGAATCACAATGCAGCAGTTAGTCCATTTTCTCCATAATTAGCGCTGTATCTAACTAACCTACCGCTAACTATGGTCATTACACTTACATTGGGGTCAGTGTAATTTGTGTCTCCATCTCCTCTTCTTCACACTTCACTTTTCACCTCATCGTTCCCGTTATAAGTGTATTATACATTACTTCTTCTGCCTACACCACACACTAAGACGCATTATTTTTCGTCTTCACGCTGTTTTATGATTTCGAACGTAACAGAGCTTTACGTCTGTACGCCATGTAAATTATAGCATGTAATAATAAACCTTAATAGAATTACATAGTTTTCAATTCTTCCGTCCACCTAGAGCGAAGCCAGGGTAAATTTTTCACGTCGAAAAAACAGCCTGCCTTTCTTAGGACCCACATTTTGTTCTTGCAGAACGAGGTCATTATTACTTTTTTGTTTTTTTTTTATCACTACCTATATCCATATACCGATGTGCCGATACGCTTCCTTTTTTGAATTCCGACGATCAGCAACACATCCCGTAGATACCGCGCCCTTTTTAGGTTTTATAAAACCAACAAATATTAATCCCGCCAAATATAGCCTCCACCCAAAACCGTTGATGCTGAAGTGCGCAGAGGAATCGTACTGGCACAGTGTTAGGAAGTCATCAATACCTTGTTATTAGCACTAAACGTACGGCACTAAATGTACGTAAAAACAGGCTGCTTTGAGAGGCAAAGCCGGTATCGTTGCAGGTGGTATGGAGAATCTAGCTGTCGCATAGGCACGAGCGGGAGATTTGCTGTGCGTCTCGTGAATGTACTTCGTTTACATGACAAAGACCTTTTCGCAGTCTTTAAGATCAAACACATCACCCGTTCTAGGACAGGTTATCTTTCCACGATTTGTGGATGCCATATCTTTCAGGGCAATTTCACCGTAGACATGTCCGTTTGGCAACATTAATGGAGCATTATTCTCGTTCAGAGGAGCTCCGGATAACCAGCAGATCAATCTGGAATATTTATTTAGACAAACAAGATAAAATAGAGCAATTTTAGGATCTTTCAGCGCTCGCACGTCTTTACAAAATTAAGTTAATTTGATTCGAAAAACGTTTGTTTGATACGTCAATTTGAAAAAATGTATGATGGGGTAGGGTGGAACGGGTTAACACTGAGCACGGACAGCTGAATCCTATCGATTAAGCTGCATCGAAATGCTCAACCACGAAAAACCCTCTTCAATGAGCAAAAATTAGCTGAATATGAATGAAATTTGACCACCGGAAATTCGGTACAGAAAATCCAAACGTTAGTAAAAAAAAAGACCAGGGTACATCAATAATAGATTGCTATTTACCTAGACTGTGCACAATGCGCAAATGGCAAGGCTTGTGCGAGGACGTTTAGATGCCGAGAACAAACAGGGCAGTTTGCGTTGGACACCTCGGATCTGTAAGCGTTCACGTCCGATCGAGATCGACTGAAATAATGGTTAGGGCTACTGATAGTACACAAATTATTTGAGTAAACACATACCATGCAAAAAACCAAAATATAAACTGAAATAATAATTTCTTTTAATTTTACGCATTGTTGTAATGGTAATGTAATATAACATCATAAATTGATTTATTCATAGATTGTCAGTTCAGACCTGTAGCAATGGGGCGTTTTAAGGGCTGATAAGCCAGCCTGAAGAGTCACACTGAACACGCTCGACCTGCCAAGTTGGTACAAACGGTGGTTTTCGTAGCGGAAAAGTTCTACCAGACGACGCCAGCGGTTTGGATCACACAGATCGCGATAGGGTGCACGTATCGCTTCGAAATTGTCGACAGGCAGCGCAAGAAGGAACATCGTTCGCTGGATATCATCCAGTTGCTCTGGCTCGAGGGTGGAAAAGTGCCTACGTGCATGTCTAAAAAATGGAAAAATGACCGAACAACGGCGAACATAGTAGTGTCCAACTAACACAGACATCTAAAAAATCAAAAAGTTTAAAGAGCTGTTTTTTGCTACAATGCAGGACTATGCTGAATTTTATCACCTGAGATAAGCCTTCAACCTTATGTCGCCTCTATATCAAATTCATACTATCTCTGCACGTAGAATTTACTCACTGGTGTAGCGGCACTTACAGTTAAAAATAAATAGCACGTCCTATACGTCCCGCTATGCATCCAGCCAAATTAATTTCCAGCACCAATAAGAAATTCACAAGCTAAGAAACCATAAATACCTTCTCACTACTCATAATCAACGTTGTAAATCTAATTTGATTATGAACACAAAGGCCGCCCTACGTACTATAAGCTGCCTGCAGAATTCTCCCGTGTCGTTTACCATATTTCGAAAAATCTGACAACACATTGAGCTTTTACATGCAAAGTCACATCTGTGTAATTCAATGTTTTATGCATAGATGTTTTAAGTACACTAGATACTCACTTGACAGCCTCCATTCGCTGGCCTAACCGAATTAATTCAATGAACTCCTGTTGACGTATATTAAATTCGAGGGTGCTATGAAGTTTCCGCAGCTTTGACTTGTTATCATGGCACCACGCTAGGCAGGGAGCGGTGTCACCACGCTGAAGCGCATCTTCGACGTCACGAGAGACGAGAAATAGCTCAGTATTCGTTAACTCACGCAAATCGCAGCGATCGGCTAGCTTCAACGCGGTTCTGGTTGAAATCGGTAGAAAAAGCTAAATTAACACAACGAAACTCGTGAACCTATCTGTTTTTGTTAATGTGCCCAAGGCGTTCAACGACTGGTTATGGCACGCTATTTGTTATTAGCTTAATTGTATTATTTAATAACTGCCGGGCTATACGGGCGTTGAAGAGATCCACAATGAATTAGCTTGATGATATATAACGAAGCAACTTTTTCAAACCAACCTAACACAGAGAATACTTACTCGTAATAGCCAGCCCGAAGAAAATGTTCAACGAGCATTCGATCCACTCTTTTATCAACCCATAGGTCCTTCGCTGCTTCAGACCCGCCTTCGTCAACTGGGCCGCTCGCTCGAGCTCCTTCCTTGAGGTGTTCCAGTCGACGTTTGCATAACTGAGCTGCTTCAACCTCCTCAAGAAGACTCTCGTCCGCCTGACACACACACACGGAATTGCAACGGAACTTAACTCGTTGTTATTTATAACGACACGTTGCTTTGCTTCGCCAACTTTGCACAACCGAATCGATCTTTAACATCGACCATGCGCTTTAGTTGTTTTGCGTTTGATTAAAGGAGAGAATGTGGAGTTAAATTTTATTTAACAACATCATTAAACTACAACATCAACTAGATAATTTTCTGATGGACTCGAGCACAATTACGACTAGATATGTCGGTACTCTTTGTATTTACCAAAATAAATGATACCCAAAAAAAGTGTCATGTTTTATATGGACCATGTTTAATAGCTCGTACCTTCCTCTTAAGCAAATTTAACTTCTCAACGACGCTGCCCAGTAGCTGCTTAATCTCACCTACACTCCCACGACCACCTGAGCTGCAACTCCTTTCAAGTTCGGCGGTAACAGCCGTCACATGGCTGACCTGAGAAAAGAAAAAATGTCAATTTATTAATATGCACAAAATAAGGTTTAGATAAACTGGCTTTGAGGCACAGTTTTTGGCACATCGATTTGAATCATTTCTATTTTACCAAGCAATATGGCTAACGACTTAACGATAATTGAATGATAACTACATGAAGCTACTACCAGTAATGAAATATGATTAGCTTCGATTTAGGAAAGCAATAGACAACATACCTCTCTATCTATGTTCTTCTGTGCAGTGCGAAACTTTTTATTGAGCATTTCATACGGAACCTTCAAGGTGGGGTATTCCAATGACTTGATGTCGGCCATGCTTTCAGGTGACCCTGTGAGTTTAAACCATATAACCTATAATAACCGTAGGATACAGGCGAAAGCCAAAATGAAAAAGAAACGAACCGTCATAGTACTTGTAGATGTTTTGAATGTCATTAGTTACCCTTCCATTCGCTTAAACAGGTTCAATAAACGGCCTTATTCAGGTGTAAAAAACTACGATTAAAGCCGTTCAATGCACTTCGGTATCAATGCTTTCGGTAACGGTGTACTCACCGTACAGATCTTGCTCAGCAAAGTACGAGGTGCTGCCCCCGTCAACGATTACCCTTCCCTGAAATGGTACGCACTCAAGAACTTAGAGAACGCTCTTTGGGACACTTTCGAGCAACAAACATATACACGTTCAATTAGATAGACAAGTTACAAAATCAACTGACGGCTTTGCTTGTGTTGCTAATGTTAGTAAGAACCCATTATGCGTAACATGCTACGAAATACTACCTATTTCAAATGACCTTCAATAAAATTATTTTTCTTCCTTGAAAAATTAGAAGCTACTACTTTGGTAGATAAACGAAACGTACTGGGCCCTAAACAGTACTTTAATGAGACATAAGAGACTTCTTGAAGAAATAACGATTTCGGGAAATTCATGGTATAATATAGTGAATGTAAGTGAAAAAATATAACGCTGGTGGTCTATTCTACTGTGCTTTTAAAATTTAACTTTAGAGACCCGGAACCCTGTAAGCTAACAAAACGTGGTATTGTCATAAATTTGTGGCATTACATTTAAAAGCCAAAAATAAATAGCAATAATTAATATCACTATGTTCTACAGTGCGGTTAATTGCAGGCATGTCCGCGCGCAGTTACGCGAATTCAACTATATCATGTCTTGTACTGCCATGAGTGAACATTCAACTTAAAAGAAGCTGGTAGGAAAACTAAATTTTACCGCAATAGTTTTCGAGATCCAGAAAACGTTATAGATATGCGGTATTAACTGGTACACAAAACTGTTAAAAATGGTGTTCTAAACTATCCTATTTGAAGAGAAGGTACAGCATCTTTTTCTTTATTATTGTTTGGAAACGACGGCCATCAAACAAAACCTTTTCTTCGACCAGAAAATTAATAGCTTTTGTATTTTAACGGTTTCCGAAACCGGGATAAAAATGTGAGATTATAATTTTTACCAATTATTAATTGGTACCCATTGAAAATGTATGTGAAAAAATGACAATGAAATATCTACCTTAATCATAGCTTATTTCCGATTAGACGATAAGCTCAAAACATTTGGCGTGCCAGTAGGGTAAGCACGAAATAATATTACTTAAAAGCACAGTTTTAACTTATATAACGAACGAATCTGAGGAACGTTAAGTAAAGAATGATTAGCTTACAGAGACACATACACTTTCGTAAACATTAAAATACATAAAAGTGACGGTCGAATCAAGCTTTGATTTTAACCAACGGTAGTTCGTTTCGTGTCTAGATTAGACCGTTCTAGAGCGGCAGCCAAGATTTCGATGCAAAACTAAAAACAAAATCACCATGAGTAAGTTCAGTTTACACGTAACGGTAGCTGCCGAAAAGAGCTAAGCATCACGATCCCTCAACATAATTTAGTCACAGTTCAGTGTTATTGAGTCATCTGTGTACCATAGAAACACGTTGCCTTCTCAATGTGCAGGTTTATCTTCACCAAAGTTAAAGAATAGGTTTGCTCGTTAGGTTGTTAGCTCTTCGAATCCGATTTAAAAGCTATAGAACCGCCGTCCTCCACGCCACGTGCTTTTGGTGACTTTGGCGTCGAAAAGTCACTCTCAGTGCTCAAACGGATTCTTCTGATTGACAAGACGATGTCTTCGTCTCACAGAATCTCTCACTTATACTCTTCATATACATGGTGATGTAAAGATGGGTTTATTCACCTCGCCGAAAGCTCGGACATACTTCGTCATAGATGCATTCAGTATCGGTGTCCGGCTCCGAAATCCTCGGGATCTGTTGCAGTTCAGACCTGCAGAACAGATGGATCTCTATTGAATACTCTGCTTGCGACTCTTTTGCTTTATAAACGCGTTAACCAAATTACTTCCCGAAACTCTCTAAAGGAAAATCCTGAAAGGCGCATTTAACTGCTCGTTTGGTGCATGGTGCATGGCTTGCCTTCGCAGTTCACTGTCACTGTGCACTTCTTCCTTCTTGATGCTTTACTACAAGGCAAACGACTTTGTCGATGGTAACGATAGCAGTTTTAACGCCGTCCACAACACATTATGGCCGATCACGATTTAAAATTATTATGAATACTCAATAATATTTCAGCATTTCTTGCACCTGACCGCACAGAAGTCTACCTCATATGGTCTTATGCCGGCACTAAATAGGAGTTGGCGGTGGAGAGTAATTTCGAACAGCTTGCAGATACATTTTATGGATCGTGTTCTAAACCGTTATTGAAAACATTAAATTAGGAAGGTATAATATATTTATTATCTTTCTATCTTTGAAGAAACCCTAAACAATTACTTCTGTCTTAGGTAGTGAAATTCGTTGGCTTCTATTCCACCAGAACGCACCATTTTGACCTATATTTTAAAAGACTATGTGAAATCGGTTCTCTAATTCGACAAGACGTCCTGACAAAACGATCTTCTTGTTTGTTACTTAAATGCTAACCGTCGCTGTCTGTAGGCCACTGCGATTTTTTTTACCCACTCCTTTGACAGAATTAAGAGCAGTTGTTTGTTATAAGGCCGGCAACATACATTTGTAATTACAAACCGATATTATAAACTTCAGTATTAGGCAATGAATATCAACTTATTCACATGTCAAGTACCTGCTTGATATAGAAGAGACATCAAGTAACACAACAAAATGTTTTACCTAGATCTTGAATAATTACCTATAATTCGCTTACCCAGCACGGTGCAATACAAAGTATATCCCAATCTGTGTTTTAAGGATCCCTGATTTTGTCGAAAAGTTCCGTCGGAAAGCTCTATGTAAGTGGTTTCGAGATCGCACGACGTGTTTGGAACCGGAATCTCTATTATAATGTTCTATGGCACGATCGGCGTAGGGCGGTTTGTCAGTAATTTTTGGATGACAAACAGCATTTGTCGTGTCGGAGTAGTGTGCACTTGTCCCGTCTAGAAATACGACTACAATTACGAACAACTTTGTTAATACAGCTGAGATATGCTTTTCATGTTATTTGGAGTTGGCGAATGAGTCTAAATATTTATGTGTTGTAGAACTTAGAGATGGCACAGCTTAAAAACAAGACGTATTTCTTTTAATTGTTTATAAAGGACTTATACTAGCCACAACACACCAGACGGAAATTAATCGATAACTTGGCAACTGCGTGCAATTTTATTAGCGCATTGGGCGCAGCAAGGTTTTCAGGAACACCTTTAAATCTTTGCTTGGAAAATTTGTGACACTGCTCTTTGCGCCCATACAGAGCCGCAATGAAGTCTTTGAAAAACCCTTAAACACACCTTCCTTCATATCTTCACGGAACACCTCGAAGCCCATCACATCCACGCAATTTAGACCACATATTTGACACCAGGCTTGCAAGTAAACGAACCTTTTCTATAGTCTGTCATCGTCATAAACAACTTAGAGGATGCATTGAAGTACATTCTTGGTTTGCATTAAAGGTTAAATAAACCTCGTACAAGTGTTTAATGTAACCGAGGTTCGATATTCACAACAGCAGAAAAACTATGTAAATATTAGGATAAGATAGAGTACCGTCGAAAAAGGAATCACTCTATCTTAATAATCTTTAAAACATTAAACCAAGCAAATAAAATATCGTACAGAATGAATGTCATTTCATTGGTTTAATATTTCAAAATGAAACATTTTTTGGTTTTTAGTATTTGGTGCCACAATCTGTTCAAACCTTACTAACACTGTAAGTTTCACTGCTCACGGATGTCAGCTGTCGAATCAAGACATTTGAGAAATGAACTTCGAGCTTTATGGTAATGATTTTATCTCAGTTCTTAAATTCTGGGCTCCTTTATGCGAAACTGTATTTTGTTTACTGAAAATAAAATATGTCAAAAAAGAAACCGAAAAAACGTCTCCCGAGTCATTTTTTGAACGGTACAAGGCTGTTTTTAATATATCTTTTTATCTATTATATGTATGATTTGATTAGTACGAGCCTAATAAGTGAAAGCACAATCACCAGAATTCACTCACATTCTAACTCCAGGTTCTTGTGTTTAGATAGATAGCATTTTCAGACCTAGGCATATCTGTACGATCTATAAGAATGCACGTAAAAAATCATCCTAAAATGAAGTTTCACATGTGCTCAGACATTTACGTATCTCGAATCGCTTTTAAGGATTTAAGTTAAACTAAATTCTAGTATCGCTGCCGACTCAACTGACCGTATAAAAGCGATGAATCGATGATAGTTAACGAAAATGTCTAAATTTTATTGCATTAGCAAAATCAAGATCGTTCTTAACCAGCCGATAAGGTTACACCAAAATATTGATACCATGGCTGATTTTTCTTCTGCGTTGAGTCTGTTTTTTGTTGTTAGTGTGCACCACACTAGTCCCATTGAAACCATCGATCCGCAACTTCGATGTCGACGATCAGCTGTTGGTGTACCATGTGGACAAGGTTGATTTTTTCGGGAGGCGACTGCGTAAATTTTTGTGAGATTTTCTTGAGCCTATGTTACGGTACTGCGTGGGGCCAATTTTCAACCACGAATTTGACTATTACTTACCAAAATTGCCTGAACATCGAGCCGTTTTTGCTGACTTACTGCTGTCCCATTCCGTTTGCTGTACCTAGACATTTCCCTACACGTCCCCAGCTAGTAAATGGGTAAAAAAGAGATTTTGGCAAAAATGCCTAAACGTGTATCACAGAACTGAGGAATATGCCCTACGTCGATTCTAGCTGGACCACCTCAGTTGCACCTCGTGTTAGCGAAATTCTCATCGCAAAAACATCGTTCCCATATAAAAATGTCGACATTTTCAAATTTTCCCGCCACGTCGCGGACGCGCTATTTCTGAGATGTATCCCTAGTGCTCTAGCTGATATTCCCTAGCAACATCCCTAGTCAATGTCCCTAGACAGGGTTGTGCGAGACGCGGTCGAGACGCCGCGAGTCAACTCGGCGGTGTATATCGTATGGTGATGGTCGGTTAGTTATTGTTTCGGAGAGGTGTTGTTGCTGCGAAGTGCCGGTGCGGCTAGCGAACTAGTGGCAGGCTTGTTTTACTTAATCAGGAGCTGCTGTTGTGTCGCAGCACCAGTTCGCGTGGATGGATTAGAGCCGTTGCAGCCGCCGCAGCAGATAATGCTTAGTGGTGTCGTGGGTTGAAGTCGGTGGGTGTCGTTGTGTCTGTGTTTTGCTCGGTCAGTCTCGCCAGTTAATGCGGCAGGCGCAGTATTGACGATATCGAGTAGCCCGCCACTGTAACAACGACAGCGGCAGCAACAACAACCACGAAAATAACAGGAACAGTCAAAGCGTTGTCATTCCACCCCGAAGTTGTACTGTGTGCGTGCGTGCGTGTGTGCGTGCGTTTGCCGACACCATCCACTTCGACTTCTACTCCTACTACTACAACTAGCAGCATCAGCACGACCAAGTGGCGGTGTGATGGTCTGGGCGGCGTGCTGCTGTTGCCGCTACTACTAGCCTAGCCCCCGCGTACGGTCAACGGTGCGACGGCAAACGAGCTTCGCAATTGCTCTGCGACTCTGACTGCTACTGAAGCGCAAGTACTTTGGTTACGGACTCTTTCATCACGGAAACAACGAGGAAAACCTTTGAACAGCGGCGGCAGCCGGTTGCTTGACTAGGAACGACCGTGTTGTTGTCATCTAACGGGTGCAGGCGACCTAGCGACGACCCGTGTACTGTGTCGACATCGTGCCTGTCGCAGTGACGAGAGGCTGAGCCGAATTGAGCCAGTTCAATTTCGGTTGTGGCCTATTCGTACTACTTGTGTACGGCGCAGGAGGGTAATCGCAGCGTAGTGTCGGATGGTGCTGCTGCTTCTTTTGGTATCGGTGTTGTCTATTTCTCGCTGTTGTGGTGTGTGAGTATCTGCCGACAGGTCGATAGGTTGATCGTTGTCTCTCGTCGTGTTTACCGGAGTACCTCCTCCGGCTGCTGCTGGCGGAGCCCGCCCTATCGTTGCAGCCGTTGTTGGTTTGTTCTTTTGTCGGTTGCCCTGTGCCTTTTTCTTCTCTGACTTCTTGTCCGATTCGCCAGAGCGTGATCCGGTCGTCACATCATAGAACACGTAAAGAGATATCGTGCCACTGCCCCCGCAGCCCCAGCTAGTTAGTTGTGTTCGGTCATCACTCGCCTGGTGTCTATCAACCCCATTGTGTGGTTGTTAATCGACCAGTCAGTGTGTACGAGTGCGCTTCTGCTGCTTCCCGCCTCGCTTCGACTCGCCGTAGGCCTAGGGATGGACATTCTTCTTCGACCGTACTGGCCGCCTTCAACTAACAAACACGGAAAAGTGTAATAACGCAACAACCTCGACGAATCGTACGTACATACAAAATTTATTACTAGCGCTGTCAGCAGTATCTCCATCCAGTGAAGTGTGGGCGCACTGCTCAGTGTTAACGGAGGGGTACTATAGATCATCGAATATTGACGACGACCGCGACAATAGCAACAAAATAACAACAATAACAACCGACAAGAACCAGTGAATAACGAGCGAATGCGGCGTCTTAGACATCGACGGTCAACAACAATGGATATATAGCGAAATAGGGGATGTAATTATATATCTGTCTTCGTCTATCGACAGGAAGACGCACCATCGTTGAGTTCGTTATTCTAAGGTGCCTGCTCTGTCTTGCGATTCTTGCGAGAACTTCGCATTCGTGCGATTAGTACTGCTATTACTGCAATTATAACAATAACAATTATAATAGCAGTGCGTAGCTTATTCTACAGAAGGTACCCCATTGGAAAGAGTCGTCATCGAAAAGGACCAGCAGCGCCGGCTGTTCCTAATTGCGAGGTTGTAATAATAGAACAATAACAACAGTTCTGCGGTGATCTCTCTTTATCGTGCGTTGCTTATTTGCTGTGTTTTGTGCTCTCGGTCGTTCGTTGTGCGATACTCGGGAGTGTGCAGTGATTCTGTCAGCCCACTGCTAGTAACTCCAACAGAGAACGGATCAACTCGACGGAAGTAGCGGACCGGCTTTATCTCCCTCACGACCGTTTGGTAAGTGTCCACTTTATCATTGCCCACCTTCCATGGGGTCCTTTTTGTCAAACTTGTCAGTGTTGTGATCAGCGTTAGTAAATATAAAATAAAAGAGCTGCTAACTTACCACAATCAACTTCTTTTCATGTGAGGGTGCTGAATACAAAAACAAGTCGAGACAAGCAAGTGGGCGACGAAGTCGTTACTAAAATGACTAGTAACATTATTTAGCCTTGCTTATAGCAGCCGTAAATGCTCATTGTACTGGGCTGTCTCTTACCGTACTTATACTCTAAAAGCGCGTTGCGTACGGGATGATTTTGTGAAGCTCCGGCATTGTTCTATCGACGAGATGCGCATCATCTCTCTCTGTATATATATCTGCGCTCTCAGTATTTGCACCTCCCCATTCCATTTTTACCAATGATTCCGCCCTCAAAACATGTTTTTGTCCGTTCGTTCATCAGTCGACCGCAGTCGATGAGTAACAGCGGCGGGCGATAGACACACATATGCAGCAGCGCGCGATTCGGCTGCATCGTCTCCTTTATTCCTTTATTCCTCCCTTTTTTTATACGCGTCTCTGTTGCTGTTAGCCGTCGTGCGTCTCTCTTGTCTGTTTGTTCGTATCGACTGGCGTTGACTCGGCGCTCATTTTGGCGCTGCTCGGTCGCCGTTTGCTAGTGCTCACACGCTTACTCGTCTCGCCTATTCATCCGCTCAGCGACTGGCTGGTTGGGTGGCTGACTGGCTCACTCGGTTCGCTTGTCCGTCTATTGGACCGCCACTGGCGATTGGTGCGTGCTCATTGACTCGGTCGGCGTCTGCGGCGGCGACGGTAGCTATTGCTGCCGTCGCCAGGAGCAGTGCAACGGTGGCAACCGTTGTTTCTTTGCAGTGCGAATCGGCAGCAGCGGCGGTAGTAAATGGCAAATGTGTGATGATGCTGATGCGTCAGTGTTGTTAGAGTATCATCTGGGTACACGCACGCGAAAAGAAGCGCCACTGCCGTTTGCGCTGATTCGTAGGCCGTTGCTGGCTTCGAATTAAGTGGCGTCGATGATCACAACGACGATGATGCCACCATTATCATGGACGCTCTTCTCGCTGTTGCCATTATTACATTGCCACTAGAAGCATCGGCACCGGACTGTCGTCGCTGTCGCCGCGTTGCCTCCGCTTGCCGCTGCCGAGGGAACAACAACAACGACAACGGCAGTAGCAGCGAGGTCTTGGCGGCAGATCCGCCACTTCACCTCATTCCAGTCTCGCACAGTGGTCCGACAGCGCCCGCGGTCCAGACGAGCGCCGAAGGACAGACCAAAACAGCGCAGAGCCGTACACAGCTGGCACAGAAAAACGAGCATTCGTTTCTTTTTCGTTCTCGTTATTGCCGTTGTTGATTTCTTCTTTTTTCGCCTATTTTTTTCTTTTTGTCTCCGCCTTTCGTCTTTTGCTCGTATCATATTTTTCTCTGTTGCTGAAAATGTTTGCAGGGACGCACCGAAGATAGGCTTAAACAAGCTTGCTGTTTCGATCGCATCACCAGGGGTAACAGGCAGCTCGGGCACGATGCTGCGAACCTACTGCTTCTACTGTCGGCGGGGCTGACTCCACTAAACCTAGAGGTAGCAAGCAGATAGGTCGTCGCCGCTGTGACAATGAGTACGAACGGTCGAACGAGGTGCGGTTGTGGTGTTTTTCAACTCGTCTTGCTCTCGCTGTTCGCGCTGCTGTCGCCGTCGTATGTGCCTACTTTCGCCTGAGCGATCCCCCTATCGATGTGTCTCGTCCTCTCGGTGCTGTGTACCCCCGGCGTGCTGCACTACCTTCTTCCTGACTACTTAGTAGGGCTGGACAGCGACAAACAGATAGACAGATACCAACTGATACTGGCTGATAATCCCGTGTTGTTCTTACTATTAGTATCTGTAGAACTGGGAAACTCGTCTTTGGACGGCACGCCCTCTGCCACCGCCACTTTTGCGTTTGTTTGTTATTGTCGTTGTCGTCGTCATCATGTGATGGCTGTTCAGTTTCGGTGGCTATTCCTGACGGCGTTTATTTCGCTGAAGGAAGAAAGCGAAGTCCTAAAGAAAAAGAGAACGAGCGTTACCGGCTTGGCCCGAGGCATAACATGCTGTTATAGGACCTATTTGCCTACCTGACTACCAGCCTGCCTGCCAAGTTGGCTGGGTGTTGGCACGGCTATCGATTGAAGTAATCGCCGTGTCCTATCCTCATGTGTTTGATAACGGTCCACATGAGCGATCCATTGATGTTGTTGTTGTCGCTGCTTTGGTTATTGATTTCGCTGCTCATGTCTGGCTTCCCGCCCGTCGGTGTTTTGCCTAAGGCCGAGGGACAGCCATTGTGACAACATTGCTAGAGCCTTATCTCTTGTGGAATTTTTCTTTCTCGTCGTAGTCACTCTCCCTGACTCAGCACTCAACTTGATGCCACGTTGCGGTGGCGGGTAACGAATGTTGCTCTCGCTGTAACAGCGCCAGCACGAGCAGCAGAATGTCGCCGCAGCGTCAACCCCGTTCACGGGTTTGTTACTGTTACACACGCGAATTCGCTTTCTCGTTCGTCCGTC